CAGTCTCCCATAAAACTCATCGTACACCTTCTGCTTTGTCTTAGCTACCTCCCTCTTTGCTCTACGTCCCATCTCCTTATATTCCTGTCTCCTCTCTTCAGTCCTCTCTCTGTCATATTTCTTCTTGTCTAACCTCTTTCTTTGAACATCTTCCTGCACTTCTCTATTCCACCACCAGGTTTCCTGATCATCCATTCTCTGTCCAGATGACACACCAAGTATCTTCCTACCTGTCTCTCTAATTACTGTTGCTGTAGTAGTCCAGTCATCTGGAAGCTCTTTCTTACCACCCAGAGCCTTTAACAGCTCCTCTCTGAATTTCTGACAACGTTCTTCCTTCTTCATCTTCCACCATTTGGTCTTCTTCTCTGATTTGACTCTTCTTCTCTTCTTCACAACAACAGTCATTCTACACACAACCATCCGATGCTGTCTGGCCACGCTCTCCCCTGCCACAACCGTACAGTCTCCAATCTCCCTCAGGTTTCCTCTTCTACACAGAATGTAGTCGACCTGCGTACTCCTTCCTCCACTCTTATAGGTCACTCTATGCTCCTCCCTCTTTTGGAAACAGGTGTTGACTACAGCCATTTCCATTCTCTTGGTAAAATCCACCACCATCTGTCCTTCCTGGTTCTTTCCTTGACACCAAACCTACCCATCACTTCCTCATCCTCTGTTTCCTTCACCAACATGTCCATTCAGGTCTGCTCCATCACCACTCTCTCCTCCCTGGGAATACTCTCTATCACTTCATCCAGATCTTTACAAAATGTATCTTTCTCCTCCACATCACATCCAACCTGTGGAGCATAACCACTGACAATGTTTAGCATCAGACCTTCTACTTCTACCTTCAGACACATCACCCTATCTGACACTCTTTTCACCTCTACTACATTCTTTGCCAACTCCTCCTTCAGGACCACCCCTACTCCATGTCTCTTTCAATCCACACCATGGTAAAACAGTTTGAACCCTGCTCCAATGCTGCGAGCCTTGCTGCCCTTCCACTTGGTCTCCTGGACACATAAAACATCTGCTGGATTTTTCAGACTATAAGGTGCATTAAAGGAAACAAAACAGTCAGATCAGTCAAACTTTATTCAACTTATGCACAATAACTCTCAACATTGTTCAGTTGTTTGACGTAAAATCAGTTCCAGGTCGGTAAGCACAACCAGAATTCATACATAAGGCACACTGCTGATTGTTGAGAAAATTAGATTAAGTGGGCCTTATAGTCCAAAAAATACCGTACCTTCCTTCTCAGCATCATGTCAGCCAGCTCTCTACCTTTGCCTGTCATTGTCCCCACATTTAGAGCTGCAACCCTCAGTCCTACATTCTTCACTTTCCTCTTCTCCTCTGTCTCCTGACATGTTTCCCTCCTCGTGGTCTTCCACTAACAGTAGCACAGTTTCTGCTGACACCCTGTTTGTCAACAGCACCGGTGGTGGTCGTTGGTAACCCGGGCCTCGACCGATCCGGTGGTTTCACTTTGATGAACTTTCATTATCAATCAATCAATCAACCTTTATTTATACAGGTAAATCCCATTGAGCCTCGAAGACTCATTTACAAGAGAGACCTGATTTCAACAAAGAAAGATGACAACAATGGACAACAGCAACAACAATAAATCATAATAATCATAACCATAATCATTATGGTTTTGGTGAAAGTGTTTTATGTCGGATGCCCTTCTTGACACAACCCTCACCATTACCTGGGCTTGGGACCAGAACCAGAGATCCACTGGCTCGTGTCTGGTGTTAATGCCACTAGGGATGCTCCAAGATTCATAACTGGCTGTAACTGTCATGATCAGCGGCCCCCGCTGGCCCCCCATCTGCTCACTTCCCTGCCCCTTCATGACATGCCACGTTTTCTTTCCCTCTCCTTCATGTTTGATGATTCATCAGCTCCTGCTAATCTGCACTTCAAGTCTGCTCATGTCACGTCTCTGTCACCACGCCCTCTCAGCTGATTCACCACAATCAACCTTCACGCTGCTCACCTGTTCTCACCTGTTCTCATCTGTTCTCACCTGTTCTCAACTGTTCTCACCTGTTCTCAACTGTTCTGTTTTTCTGTTTTTATTTTATTTTTTAAGGTATATTCTTACTGCTTTTTATTTCTTAGTGTTACCATTAGTGTTAAGCACTTTGATAACAGTCTATCTGTTTTAAATTGTGCTCTATAAATAAATATGACTTGACTTGACTTGTTCTCACATGTTCTCATCTATTCTCAACTGTTTGAATCTGTTCTCATATGTTCTCATCTGTTCTCACATGTTCTCAACTGTTCTCATCTGTTCTCATCTGTTATCAACTGTTCTCAACTGTTCTCACCTGTTCTCACCTTTTCTCACCTGTTCTCGCCTGTTCTCGCCTGTTCTCACCTGTTCTCACCTGTTCTCATCTGTTCTCGCCTGTTCTCGCCTGTTCTCAACTGTTCTCAACTGTTCTCATCTGTTTTCACCTGTTCTCACCTGTTCTCATCTGTTATCAACTGTTCTCAACCATTCTCACCTGTTCTCACCTGTTCTCGCCTGTTCTCGCCTGTTCTCACCTGTTCTTACCTGTTCTCGCATGTTCTCATCTGTTATCACCTGTTCTCAACTGTTCTCACCTGTTCTCATCTGTTCTCAGCTGTTCTCAACTGTTCTCACCTGTTCTTGCCTGTTCTCATCTGTTCTCAGCTGTTCTCAGCTGTTCTCATCTGTTCTCATCTGTTCTCAGCTGTTCTCACCTGTTCTCGCCTGTTCTCACCTGTTCTCACCTGTTCTCGCCTGTTCTCGCCTGTTCTCACCTGTTCTCGCCTGTTCTTGCATGTTCTCGCCTGTTCTCGCCTGTTCTCACCTGTTCTCGCATGTTATCATCTGTTATCACCTGTTCTCACCTGTTCTCATCTGTTCTCACCTGTTCTCACCTGTTCTAACCTGTTCTCACCCGTTCTCATCTGTTCTCACCTGTTCTCACCTGTTCTCGCCTGTTCTCGCCTGTTCTCGCCTGTTCTCACCTGTTCTCGCATGTTCTCATCTGTTATCACCTGTTCTCACCTGTTCTCGCCTGTTCTCACCTGTTCTCACCTGTTCTCACCTGTTCTCGCATGTTCTCGCATGTTCTCATCTGTTCTCACCTGTTCTCATCTTTTCTCAGCTGTTCTCAACTGTTCTCGCCTGTTCTTGACTGTTCTCCCCTGTTCTCGCCTGTTCTCAACTGTTCTCACCTGTTCTCATCTGTTCTCAGCTGTTCTCAACTGTTCTCGCCTGTTCTCCCCTGTTCTCCCCTGTTCTCAACTGTTCTCACCTGTTCTCTTCACTACTTAAAGTTCACGCTCACACTGATTTGGTGCGAGATCATTAAACCTCTCATGGATTCTCAAACTGGTCATAGTTTCATGCCTGAACCTCAAGCCTTGTGTTTTGGACTACGACCTCACACCTGCCTCTTGTCTGGTTCTGCTCTGCCCCTCTGACCCTGTGACTCTGGATTTTGGATTACCTTTTGGATCTGTTAAAAGAACTCTGACTCCCCATGCTGGACCCTTGCCTTCTGGATCACGATCCTGGATTACCCTGCTGTTCACAGCATTAAAGACTTCCCTCTACCTTCCCACCAGCAGTGGTGACGATGACATCATCCTGCCCATCTGACAGGTGACTCTCTCCTGCCTGTGAAGACCAGCCACCTCCTCTGGATCTTCTCCCTCCAAAAGTCTGGTTTCGTGACAGTAACTACCGTACCCACCACTGCACCCAGTATTCACTGGTTAACTGGTCACCATTAACTTCACACAGACTCTCCCACTGGTATATTTTCATCTTTAAATCACTTCCTGGTCTGCTGCCTTCATACATCTCCTCCTACATGTCTCTGTGTGAGTGCAGCTACAGCGTGCGCTCTCAGGACATCATTACCTGCAGTGTTCCCTCAGTGAGGACTGAACTAGACAAAAGGACCTTCTCCTACTCCGCTCCTGTTTCCTGGAACATCTTGTAAAAAGATCTGAAGCTCTCGACCTTTGACCTCTGTAAGTGGCTTCAAACATCTGATCAGTTCCTGGAAAGAACCAACGCAGATGTTCCTGTTTTTAGATTCTACACCGCCTCGTGTAATCGAACTGTTTCTGTTTATTATTTAATTTACTTTTCATTTGATGTTCTTGTCTGTTCCTCATCTGTTCTTTGTTAAAATCAGGTCTCTCTTGTAGATGAGTCCTCGATGAGACTCACCTGTAGAAATAAAGGTTGAATGAATCATTTACTCCTGCAGGAGCAGGAGGACCTCCTCTAGGAGCAGGAGGAGGATCTCCTCTAGGAGCAGGAGGAGGGCCTCCTGAACTATGAAGAACACGTCAATAAAGAACTAATGAAAAGTTCCCTCAGAGTGAAGTGGGCCTGAAGGTTCTCCAGGTTCATGTGGACCGAGTCAGAACCTGAGTCTGTTTCAAAACATTCGTCAGTCCGCAGGTAACAGAATCTTTCAAAATAAACTTGTTTTACACCTGAACGCATCACCTGAGGCCCGGCGGGTTTGGATCACAGTCCCAGAACTTTGCTCCTGGTTCCGACCCGTCTGCTGGTGGTTCTGCTCCTCCTCGGGTTCTTCCAGGCAGAGAGCTCAGATGAGCAATCGGACCGGGCCGGGTCGTACAAAGAACCAGTCCTGATGTGGCTTCTTAAGGGTTTTGTCTGAGGTCAAAGGTCACAAAGACCAGCTGACAGCAGAGCCTGTGCTGCGTTCAGGAACCAATAAAAATGTAGAAATAATTTCTTCTGATTTATTCCAGCGTTTAACAAAGTCTGGCGTTAATCTTTGGGATTTTATTCAGAAGCGTCCAAATGTCAGAGACGTTACCATGGTGACCAGCAGGTTCAAACTCTGCTCTCACTCCCTGCGGTGACAGAGTTTATGAAGCGAAACTCTTCATCGTGTCTCTGAGCCGAGGACCAGCCCTCAGGACCCAGCAGGACACAAAGACGTCCCAGCATGCATCGCTCTGTCAGCTGTGAGCCGCGCACGCGTGCGTGTGTGCATGTGTGGACTCAGTGGCCTGGAAGGAAAGCCTCCTCATGATCCTGATCGCTGCAGTCATACGTGTCCTACTTCAAGATCACAGCTGAGGACCTGCCGGTGACTTCATCGGCGGAGGGGGTGGAGCTAACTGAGCACGCACACACACATGCTCACTTCAGCTGCTGGAGGTTATTGTGCACACTTGACACAACTACAATACCCATGAGCCTCAGGGGCTGCTGCCATCAGACTCCTCTGTAACTCACCTGCTGTGACGGGCTCTCTGATTGGACGGTGGACCCTGCAGCAGGTGGAGCACCTGCACGCGCGTGCATGAGACATCGCTGCACGCATGTGCACGTTTGTGGTAATTATGAGTTTAAATCTAAGCAGAGGAGGAGGAGGAGGGCTGGAGAAGCCTGTTTCCATAGCAACAACATCCAGGAGGAGGGGAGCCCCACCCCCCCTGTTGCCGTGGCAACTATTAGCGTTTTCTGCACTGATGTGATTTAAAGGGGGGGGGGGGGGGCTGTGAGCATGGGCTTGTCTTGTCTGTTAGCAAAATATCGGCCGCCACAGCTAATCCCCAGATCTCTTCAGCTCAGGGAGTGGTAGTAGCTGAGAGTGATCCCCGTTTGAACTTTTTCATAAAGTTTCTTTGTTTTTATTGTAAATGTTCAAAATGTACAAAACTCAGGACAGAGGAAGAACCGGGGGGGGGGGGGGGGGGGGCACCCCCGGCGGCGGGCGACATGCATTCCTCTTTGATCGGCTCGATTTTGTTGTTTTAATTTCACATCAGAAGTTTTTCATTTATTTATTTATTTATTTATTTATTTATTTATTTATTTATTTATTTATTTTCAGTTCACCGGTGATTAAAACATCACGCTCGTGACCGCGCGGGGCTCTGAACACGCGCTTTGAGAACGCGCCTGAACGCGTGAGCGCGCTTCACTGATCCAAGGACAGAGCTGTGGGCGCGCGAGCATCAGGTCACCTGAAAGTCCTGCAGCTTCACGAGACCGAACCGACCCACAATTATTGGACCGGATCGGTTCGGACCGGACCGGGATTCTGAAGTAGGTGGATCAACAGGACCAGGACGAACCGACACCCGGCCCGCGGGTCGCGCGTCACACGGACAGAGCCAGAACCGCGTCCAATCCGTCCGGAACCAAGACCTGACAGACCTGGTGCCAGAAAAACAACCAGAACCTGATCCAGACGGTCCGACCCGGTCCAGACAGCAGTCAGTCAGAAAACACAGAGAAACATGTGAGCCCGACAGAACCGAACCGAACATCCGAACTGGAGCGTGACCCGTCTGATCACTGAGATCACCGGAACCGAACCGGAGCAGACTGGACCGGATCAACAGGACAGAATCCAGGACCTGCTGAGACCCTAAGAACCTGTAGCTGAGTCAGAACCAGGATCTGAGCCCGAACCCGCAGCTGGATGAGTGAGTGTCTCTGGTTCTGATTGGGTTCGGTGGTTCTGTTGGATCCAAGAGGAATCCGGAATTTTCTGCATCAAATTCTGATTTTGTGTTTTTATTTCTTAAAGCATTTATTTATTTATTTGTTTATTTTTTATTTACTTGTTTCATTTGACATATTTCTGTACATTTTTTGTTTCCTCTCTCTTCGAGCTTCTAAATCCTGAGACCCTGAGTCCTGGACCCCAAGCTCAAAACCTTCAGTCCCAGGATCTTTAAGTCCTGGGGTCTTCAGGTCCTGGGGTCTTAGTTCCCGGGGTCTTCAGGTCCAGTTTGTGGCCCTCTTCAAGTTTCAGATGTTTCTTTAAAACTGTTTGTTTTTATTTGCAGCTGAAACTGAAGAAACTGAATAAAAGTTTAAATTCTGTTCAGTTCATGAAACAAAATCAAATAATTTTCAGATTCATCTGAAACATGAGAAACAAAGTGAAGTGAACGTTCTGATCTTTGAGATGAAGCTCTGAGGTCAGGAGGGTCTGAGTGTTGATCCTGGTTAGAATCCAGATTGAAGTGGTTCTGATCCAAATTATGTTCAGACTTTTGTCGTCACTTTTTTATTTTAACATCAGAGTTTTTAAATCAACGATGGTTCTGATGAAAACAGAACCAGGAAACTGGTCCTGATCCTTCAGATCATGAACAGTTGTTTTTACATCATCTCTAAAGGGAGTGCTGCACCTCAAACTCTGCTGCAGGCTCTTCTTCGGCTGATAATCTGTTCCCAACTTCCTACATCAGCTGGATGTCAGCTGAACAAATCGACACCTGCCGGCTTCACTTTGGCTGCTTTAAATAACATCAGTTTTTCTGTAAATCAGGACATCCTGTGAGCTCAGCTGATCAGAGACAAGCTGCAGACCTGAAGCCCCGCCCCCTGCAGCTGTCAGTCAGAGTGATGGCCTGTTGTTTGTTCCCTCCTCAGTGGAGGAGCGCAGCGTCCTGCTGCTCGCCGTGCTGCAGTGCTGCTCGGTGGCGCTGTGCGGCTGCGAGCCTCGCCTGGTCAACGTGGGCGCCGTCCTGAGCCAAAAGCGCTATGAGCAGGTGTTCAAGGAGGCGGTGCTCCAGGCCAACGCCCTCTACGGCAAGGACAAGTTCAAGATGAACGCCATCTCTGTCACGCACAAACCCAACGCCATCCAGATGGCGCTGTCCGTCTGCGAGGACCTCATCTCCAACCAGGTCAGGTCACATGATGTTTCAACCTGTTAGCTTAGCCTCAGGGGGTAACCATGGCAACCAGACAGGTCACATGATGTTTTAACCTGTTAGCTTAGCCTCAGGGGGTAACCAAGGCAACCAGACAGGTCACATGATGTTTTAACCTGTTAGCTTAGCCTCAGGGGGTAACCATGGCAACCAGACAGGTCACATGAT